GATCATGTCCTCCCATTGGAAAATATATCCACTAGAGTTCTTCATACTGTTTCCTGTAAGACTGTTTGCAAATCAGTACAGTTTTCTCTCTGAAGATTTGAAATTCACTAAAATTAAGCAATGAACAGGTAATAGAATTTATGAGTTAAAAATCCATTCTGAAGTCTGTCATTGGAATGTCCTGTATGAACATAATTTTCAAGAAAATATTAATTGCAGATTGGGTTAAGAGACCCAATCTGAAAGACCCAAGTCAAAGAAAAGATGGCAACAGGAACAAAAGTGTCAGATATCTTGCCTGTGGATTTCATTGTTATAGTAATATATCTTAAAGGAATACAAATTACTTTAACTTTTTTCTTTTTTTCTTAGATATATGAAAAATATAGCAAAAATTTATATCTTCACCATAGCAAGTTATCTACTGAATGGATGGACACTGGGCTGCTCTTAGTTTTCATTTTCACAAGCAGTCAGCTTCCGCCGTTTTGATATATTTCCGTTACCTAGTCTATCAGAAGGCACTCAGTTATATTTAGCATACCAGTCACATTCAACTAAGTACGAAGCAAACAGCAAGGAAAAAGAATTAGGAGCGTTTTAATTAGTAGTTTAATAATCCTAAAGTTCCTGATTGGCATTCTACAGAATAGTTTAGCCCGCAGAACAACTTGAGTAGATTTCTCTGGAATCACCCCTCATTATATATTGGTCCTGCTACACAGTACCAGTATTTTTTTATATTACATAAATACTATGTATTGTTTATATTGTTTTTACACCACAAAGTGAAAAGCAGTTATTGCAGGAATTAGGATTACCATTTTCCCTGACTGATTTTATGCTGCTCCCCATCTATATAGTGGAAAATAGGCATGGTTTGAACATCAGTGTTCAAATTATGTATCAATAGCTTTTCATTTTTTTACATCTTTGAGATTTTTACTTTTTCAACCCTGTTTGTGGTACTGTATCTGAAATGCTTGGTCACTGACTTCATTCCAAATATTTGGTGCCTGTGTTGCATGGGTGGGCACATAAGGCATTTTTCTGCTCTCTGACAAGGTAACTGACTTTTTTAAATTAAAGAACAGATAACAAATAGTCATGATGACTAGCAAATCTTTTGTTCATATGTAGGAAAGACAGATTGACCACCACAGGAATATTTGTGAATATCACATAAGAAAGAGCTAATAACAGTTGAACCAAAATACTTGCTGGGAATATGAAGATCTGCAGACCGTTTGAGCAATCAACCATCCCTCCTTCCAAGTCACAGTGTGCATTTCTCCTTACCAAGGGACGCACTTGGTGTAGCGTAAAGTAATATGGTAGGTTTTTTTCAAAGGAAAGGGAAGATGTCATGTCTGCTGAACAGATTTATATTTATGCAGATCATGTTAATGATAAGGATTATCTGTTTTATGGTTTGGGATATAAATTGCTTTCTCTGGGGGTGAGGAAGTCATTCACCTCATTTCCTGCACAAAATTGAATTTGTCTAGGCATATTATGGGACTTTTTATTGGATGGCTGGAAAGGGAGTGAAAACTTGCCACCTTCTGAAACACTAGGCTACATAGTTAGTCTGATTAAGTATGACAAATTCCAGTTAATGAAATTACAGTAGTATTAAACAATGCTGCTCCACATGTTATATATTACCGACACTTTCACCAATATTGTTTGCAGCAGACTAATATGTTAAGAGAAAATATGCAGACTGCCACTGTCTGAATAATGCAAAACTTCAATACTACAGGCTGACCATGGCACACAAAAGAAATTTGTTTGATCTCTGGTAACCATCCCACCAAGCTGGATTTTATGCCAGTATTTTCGTGAGTCTATGTCATAGCTATATTTCATTGCCCTCGTGAAAACCCCATTTCTTACCTTCCTTTGCCAGTGCAAGCATGAAAAGCTGGACACAAACCTTCTGATAATTACTATGCATATTTTGGAATTTCCAGACAGTAAATGTCAGAGGACATTGCCTGTAAACTTGGCAGGCACCCAAAACACATAACAATTAATAACAATAAATGTACATGTTTGGTAAAGCAGGAAGTTACAAAATAATAATCTTCAGCAAAACAGTTTCTAGCAATCAGAATTAGGGAGTGAAACTTGTCTTACTAGAAAAGGAAGGAGGAAGCACTAGGATGAGGGGGATTTTTTAATGTTTGCATTTATTTTGGAAACAGAAGAGAAAGGAGAAGAGAAACCTTTTGAAACCTCGAGTCTGTGTGATAGAAAGCAAACTTATCCATACATACACATACACAGATAGAAAACTCTTCTCTCCTGGAAAATTCATTCCAAACCAATGACTGGATTTCATTACAAAAGGAAGCAGAAATTGGAGAAATTCACACTCTGAATAAAGCACTACCTAGATGGAATTTTTAACATATTTCCACTGAGCTACAGAGGCACTGCTAAGCTGTTGAGCTGAGGTACAGACCTTGCATCATCATCAGGTCCTGAAGAGCCAAATAAAAAATGCAGTTTCCATTTTAATACCTACTCTAGGTGCAGAGTATCATAGGATTGTTCTCCAGACAGAAGAATCTTTAGCATTAAATAAGAGTCTTTTAAAAGGAGAACAACTTTTGACTGTCTGAATGTAGCCAGATGGCTAGCATGTAAAGTGACAGCAGTAAAGACAAAGGTGCATATTTTGAAACAGATCAGCTGATGAACAAATCTTCCTTGATTTCAATAGGCAGAACCCTCCATTCAACAGATCTCCACTTCACTTCTAATGCCAGTGCGTTCATTATACCTGGACAGCATTTGGAAGTGAGTGTTATGTTGTTCTGATATAGATGGAAACCAAATGCAGGGATATCTATTGAATTACCTGGTTTTACAGCAGTGTAATTGTTAGCAGAATCCGGCTTCTTATTTCTAGATATTTTAGTATTCTATGAATATCACAGATAAGACAGTCTGCTATACTTCAGCTGCTATACAATTTTTTTCATTAGAGTCTCAATGATCTCCTCTTAAAATTAGTCCACTGATTGATTTGTATTCCACAGGCTGCTCATTACAGCTACCATTAGTGCACAAAATCCCATGAACATTAAAAAATGCCCTAAAAAAATGGCAATTTCAAGCTTTCATTAGGTCTTTTTCACAGATTGAAGTCAGTCAAGCAGCAAGTAATTAAGACAATTTACTGTAGCGTAACTGTATGTATTTCACCATATATTCCCACAAGAAAAGCCATGGGAGACATGTACATTAGAATTTTCTTATGAAGCTTTCTTTTGTTTTTGTACTATTTTGGAGATGGGATTGCAGAGAACATGGTACTTGACTCTCCAGTCTGAGCATCCCCCAAGAGCTTTACACTGCCGGGCCATTTGCATTTGTGTTGATGCCTTCACAGTATCAGAGTATCACTAGTATCACTTACAGCTAGTAATCCTGCTTAAGAGAAGCCAAATAAAGTCACTTCAGTCCAGAGTTGTGTTAGTTGCCCTTGGAGACTCTAGAGGGTATGGTTACAGGAGGCCTGCTTTAGTATTGGTTTTATTTTGTTCACCATTACCTGCCCTCACTGCTCACAAGCGTCTGGACTCCTGCAGAGTGCCCTGTACAGATACTGCGTTGTCTTTATGCACAGATAAAGAGGACTAGATGAGGCCACAATTTCATTTCCTTATAGTGACCAGAAAACAGAGAAGAAACCTAGGGGATATACTAAATGTTATATTAACCACTGCTGTAGGCTGTAAAGACAACAGACATTCCAGAGCTATGCTGATTAGTAATTAACACAAAGCAGATGGGAAATCGTGCTGTCTTCCCAGGAAGTTAATGCAAACTAGTTACAGTATTTATATGTTGTTGAGACTACCCTGCTAAAATGTGTTTTAAATAAATAGCAGAACTGGAATTATCTTGACATTTCAGTTAAAAATAGGTAAGACCAAATATTGAACTGGAAATTAGCTTCAAGTTTATGCTGAGAAGAGATCAGGAGTTCTCTATATTCATAAATGATCATTCTTGGGCTTAAATCCTATTTAATTTTTACAACGTGTTTTTAAAGGCATCTGCTTTAAATCTAGTTTTATTTGCCACTTCTTAAGAGGGCTGAATCTGCTGTTCCTCACTACAGACCTTGAATGTGATTAATGAAAGATTCATTCTCAACTTGATTGGTATTCTGCTACCATATATATCACAGCATGTTGTGTGCTTTTCTTATTCAAAAGACTGGATGTTCAGAGAATTGCAATTAATTCTAAAGGCCAAGGAATCTGGGCTACTTTGGAAAGTTGTTTTGAGATGATCCCACAAAGACAGACGAGTAACTCCCTTCTTTTTGTACCAGTAGGATTTCTCTCTACCATATCAATCCTAAATATAGGTTTGACAGTAATCAGCATGGAGAAATACGCTCTCTATTTAGGTGGACCCAGACATTTTGAGGTTGAGAGGTTGATTAATATATTTGCCTTTTCTGGGAAAAGAGTAATCAGCAAAGATGCTCTTATGTGACCATAACTTAGATGGGTAGTTCTGATACTGAGTCTGACATCCATGATAGCCTGTCAAGACTGTGAGAAATGCCCAAGAATGTGAGAAATCAGAAGAGGGAATGATATAATAAATTATTTTTTTTTAACTTTGGAATATAAGGCTTTCTTAAATCTTATCCTCACCAGGAAAAAACAGTAAGTAAGCAAGAGGGCTGTGTTGGATAAAACCTTTGCTGTTTTGATATAAGCAAGTTTTTGCATAATGAGTTACGGTTTAGGGACTATGAATCCTTACTACATACATGCAAATGTCTTCTAGGACTTCAAAAGAAATATGAATCTCCTCTGATACAGGAATCAAAAAAGGTTTTAAAGTAATTTATTCTAATAGACAGTTTCTAACTGATAAAATAGTCATCTCCATTCTCAGACCAGAACAAACCAGAACACAATTTCATGAATGGCATATTATTGTACACAATTATTTCTGTTTAACAGATTATTTCAAAGAGAATGATCAGTGTGATCCTGAACCCTCAGGGGACACCACCAGATACTATCAATCTATTAAGAAACACTTCGAGGAGAAAAAAAGTGGGTCATCATCTTTTGTGTCCTCCATTGAAGATGAGCAAAAGCCCCTGTTCTCTGGGGTAGCCGATTACCCATCTGTTACAGAGAAAACCACAGAGGTGGACTTTGAAGAAATGGGTCATGCCACGGAAGAAATTCTTATCAACAAAAGAAGCAATTCTTGCAAAGGTAATCTAGCTGAAGCTATTTTGTACAGTTTGAGTAGACAACTTTTTTTAGTCTAGTTATCAAAAATCATTTTTTGGATGATCTATCGATTCTTTACATAATATTTACTTTTGTGTTTCCTAAAAGGTTAAAAAGAAAAAATGTTTTAGATAAAAAATTATTATTTCTCAAAAGGATTAATGTAGTTTAATACACTGGCTGTGGGATTGGATTACAGAACTGCCAAAAGGCTATTCCAGGCTTTGTTAATAAATCATCTTGTAACTGAACTGCCTTAGGAAAGTCATTTAAACAAACTCTTTAAAACTGTCAACTGGTGCTGGCCTTCATTGAGTGCCAATGGATGAAAACATCACTCAAAGCAATAAAGAATCCCTCAAAGGGCGTTTGATATGCCAGGGTTGGGTGACAATAAAAAATCCTAGATAATGAGAGCTAGATAAACCTAGTGATGGTTGCACATGCACACAAAAAAAATGTTTTCAGGTAATTAGTTTCATTCTCTATATTGACAAGGCACAACTAAAATTAAGTGAAAAAAAATCATAATAGCTTGAAAGAATGCTATCCCATTTTGCTGCACATGTTGGTTAAAAGGATTGCCATTACATCACACAGACCAAATCCTGACTTCCACAAGTACAACATAAGAACAAAGATTTGGCATTTTGTGTATGACAAATGATCAAAAACTATTAAGCAATCTCAGTTAATTCTACGTAGAGTTAAATCACATAATTAAAATTACATCTAATATACTAAAATATTAATTTTCTCAGTGACGTGAAGGGAAATTAATGAAAAGCCACAGATTAGTATACAAGTTAAATATTGCTGAAAGTTCGTTTGTAATTGTTTCAGTCTGAAGGGAAGAATTACATATTTACTGTTTAATGCTGTTTTCCCCAGCAGTTTGTTTCCATTGAGGAAATTTAACCATTTAACCATCATTCATAAACTTTAGGCTTTTAGGCTAAACAATCCTAGTGATTAATCAGACCAAACAATGTATTTTTTACATTTCAAAGATGTGAATATGTAAAGTCTGGTGTCCTCAGGCTAGGGCTATATAAATCTACACCACATAAACTTGTTGCATACATACTGCGATGTGAAAGCTTACCTTTCCACTACCAATAGCCAGAAATGTGTCCTTGCAGCTATAGCAACGTTTTCCAAGGCAACCTATCACAGATTTTATTTGAGCTAAATTTAGCATGTCTAAAGGTTACATATTTTGATTAAGACCACATTTTTTTTCCACTTTGTAATCTAGCACTTCTGGTAATGTGTGTGAAAGCTCATTACCTTTCTTGCAACTTTCATAAAAACTTCAAGGTCAATAAAACAGGATCTGCTTTGACTGATACATGTTTTAAACTAAATTCTTACTCCTGCTATTAATTAGAGATTGGTTATAATTTACCATGAAAGTAGTTACAAACATAATGAAATTTTGAAATAAGCTCTGCTTGTATGTATGTTTATAATCCACATATAATTCTTGAATACAAATGCACAATTCATTACCCCTGTGACCGATACATATTTAATTATCTTTAATTTTGTTTTAAGCTTTGGTCATTACTGTTGATGAATGGAAAGACTATTAATAATGCATTGGATAATGTGGGCAGAAACTGCATAAACTTCTCTCTCATAATCCTGAAATGTAACTTGTAACATTAAAACATAGAGCTTTATTGAGAAGATCTGATAATTTTCCCATAGTTGATAATCTATATATTGCAGAAAAAATGTTGGTTTATATTTTCACTTGGTCATTATTTGAGCTATAAAATTGATTCTTGAATTGTTCAAGTGAACCAAGTTATACATTTATTGATCTAGTTCTCAGTCTAGGATTCTTCAAGCCCTGGAAGAACATAGTTTGTTGTAAAGTTGTAACTGCTGTTGGGTTTTTCTGTTTTTTGTGGTTTGGTTCTTGTGTGTGTGTGTGTGTGTGTGTGTGTATGTGGAAGTACTTGAAAAGATGCTTAGAACAGTACAATACCATATCTTATAATGTATTAAGTTGCTTATAGTGTATAAACTTACTTTATAATTTGAGTGCCTGTCGTGGTTTAACCCCAGTCAGCAACTAAGCAACACACAGCCACTCACTCACCCTCCCTCCTCTGTGTATACACACAGATATCATTCCCTTAGTCTATGGGACATCCCTATAAAATGTCCATTGAGTTCATTTAGTCCATGACTTTGGGCTCCATCCATCATAACAGTCTTTCAGGGCAGGGGAGATGGTGTGTGGTGTTGGATTGTTGCATGCTGAAGCCAGTTCCGATTCCATTACTGCTGCACTTTGCTCTGTTTCATCAAAGTTTATTCTTCATTAATCTGGGTGATTCTTACTGTAATACCATCGATATGGCATATAGCAACCATAGAAGTGATGACATACAGTATCATATAGCAATTAACATCATACAATTCAGTTCATTGGCTATTTTCACCCAAAATCAAATACCCTTGAGGTACACATGGGACTTGCCCATCCTCCTGCATCACCCACCAAGTGCACCCAGGTCCTTGAGCAAAAGCAATCCCATAAATGGGTTTGCCTTTGCCCGAGGCAGGAATAACCCAGACTGTCTTATCCAGCATATTTTTAATGTGCACTACAGGGACTTTATCCCCTTCTAGAGTAGGTAAAAGTTTTGACTGGGAAGGGCCAGCTCGATTGGCAGATCCCCTCATGTTGACTAACCAGGTGGCTTTTGCTAAATGTGCATTCCAGTGTTTGAATGTCCCACCACCCATTGCTCTCAGTGTAGTCTTGCTGATCACTCCTTGGCTTTCCAGTCAGTGAATCAGCTTATGGATGGGAATCAGGGAGTCGGTTGGTGTGATATTGCCACCGGTGCACCGTTGTGGTGGCAATTGGCACCTGTAGTTCTTTGACCCTCAACAGCCCCACAACAGAAGGGTCCTCCGAGAGACCGGGCAAGGGTGGACAGCTGTTTAAGGTTCAGCTGCACTGCCTGTCACCAGGGTTTGAGTAGCCACAGTGCCTGTGCACGGCTAGCTCAGTTGGTAGAGCATGAGATTTTCAATCTCAGGGTCATGGGTTCATGCCCCATGTTGGGGGCCAAAAAGGACTGTTGTGGTTTAACCCCACCCAGCAACTAAGCACCACACAGCTGCTCTCTCACTTCCCCCTGGTGGGACGGGGGAGAGAATCAGAAAAGTGAGAAAACTTGTGGGTTGAGATAAAGACAGTTTAATAGGGAAAGCAAAAGCTATGCATGCAAGCAAAGCAAAACAAGGAATTCATTCGCTACTTCCCATCAGCAGGCAGGTGTTCAACCATCTCCAGGAAAGCAGGGCTCCATCACGCATAATGGTTACTTGGGAAGACAAACGCCATCACTCCAAATGTGCCCCCCTTCCTTCTTCTTCCCCTGCTTTATATGCTGAGCATGACGTCATATGGTGTGGAATATCCCTTTGGTCAGCTGGGGTCAGCTGTCCCAGCTGTGTCCCCTCCCAACTTCTTGTGCACCCCCAGCTTACTCACTGGCGGGGTGGGGTCGGGCGGGGTGTGGTGAGAAGCAGAAAAGGCCTTGACTCTGTGTAAGCGCTGCTCAGCAGTAACTGAAACATCCCTATATGTTATCAGCACTGTTTTCAGCACAAATCCAAAACATAGCCCCGTACTAGCTTGTATGAAGAAATTAACTCCATCCCGGCCAAAACCAGCACAGTGCCAATTCATTTGCTTTGTCACAAATTAAATGTTTATTGTAGTAGTCTACAAATATATATTCTAGGACAAAAACCCGCTCTAATTTCCCTGGGATAATTCACGGCATTGAAAAATATGTGATTTTATTGAATGATTTATTGTGTAAAATAGCCAACAACTCGGTTTTTACAGGACATTAAAAAGCAGTGAAATGTATGGTCTATATTTTTGGTTTCTACCTCTGAAATTCACTGCTTAAAAGTAAATCCACTGGATTTACAACATCCATTGCACCCACACCCACAGTTTAAAATGTTACCCCTGAATTTGTCATAGTCTGCTCCCTTTACTTAGCTGAGAGCTTTCCAACTTCCTTGGACATTGCAAATTGTGCCATGTGTGCCTGCCAAAAACAAATTACATGTTTCTCTGACACTGTTTTCCTCCTTCCTTCTGTTGGCTTAAGCGGTTGAGAAGCTGAACAGGTTTCTGTGCAGCCAAGATGAAATCTCTTTCCCCTTCCTTCTTCTCAGTGCATAAAATCAGTAATAGGTCATGTCACATGAAATTCAAGCACTCTCTACAGTTCCAGGAAACCTTCTACCACCTGCTAACCAAAGATCAGACAATGCAGTAAGCACCTTACTCTGATAAAAATGAGAAGCAAGTTTCCGTCTCCACTTGGAGTCACGTAGTGAGAGCTCTCCTTCCTGGCTAAATCTGCTTGAAATACTAAATCTGAGCAAGAATTTTTTTTTTTTTCTTTAAATTTCTTTACTTAGAGCAACGCTGCTCCAAGATGTGTTTGAAAAGGATTACCTAATAGTATTTGGACAAATCTCTCACGTCACCCACACTGTGTTCTTATCTCTTTTCTTTCAAACATGGCTCTGGCTACTATGGTTGTTTAGAAAAACTTCACAAGTGTGAAAACGAATGCAACCTATGCTGAGTTATCAGCATGCAGTGCCAAGAGAAGTGTTAGGAGAAGCTCTGAGAAACCATTCAGGGACTACTGGGGGATGTGGGATTCAAATCCAACTGCTCATACAACAGAGGCTGATGCTTTAAAAGCAGTCAAGGATTTTGTCCAGCTGTATGTTGAAGCAGCAGTCTGAGCACAGGAAGAACTTTCAATACATTCTGTAACTTCATGTAGTTAAATAATTACAAATACAACCCTAATGGGAGTTGTACTGAACAGATGTTAAAGTTGTAACAGCCTTTTTTATCACAGAAGAGGAGAATCTGAGTGGTACTGAGCAATTTTTGACTGATTGTGTGACAACAGATT